ACACACACACACACACACAACATTTTTAGGACAAAGGGTGGAAAGGGTGGTGTGCAATCCACCCACCCAGACTCTGATCACTCATAACATAACTTCCTCTACGTGCTGAATAGGCTGTGAAATTCCTCCCCACGCTGAAACATTCTCTCCTCCCTCCACAGGCATTGAGAAGTTTAAAGGACGCTATTTCCACAGTCGGGAATACAAAAGTCCCGAGGACTTCTCAGGAAAGAGGATCGTTGTGGTTGGCATGGGGAATTCTGCTGTGGATATCGCCGTGGAGCTCAGTCGAGTAGCTGAGCAGGTGTGTTTGCTTTCAATGGCTTCACTACTGGAACCCTGTGTTTTGGGGGTGGCATCCAGAATTAGGTCAGGTTTGTGAAGGGCCCACACAGACAGGGAGTCCAGGCCCTGGCCTCAACAGGTTGGAATTCATGCATAGCGGAGGGTGGGTACCAATTAGACCCCTCCTCTTCCCAATGGGGAAGGCACGCAGACGGACACTGAGGAGGTGTGGAGTAAATGACCTGACCTTCCTCACTTACCACCATAGACCCTGGTCCTGATAGGCTTCAACCAGCAGGAAGGACCAGAAGAAAGAAGTCCGCCCAGGGTCAGCAGATTTGGGGGGTGGAATTAACAGAGGAGAACTGGGGACGACGGTAAACTTATGATGGTCTTTAGCTAAACGTATTGATGGAGAAAGACGGAAGGAAACAGCAAGTGCTGCACGTTTCACTTGATACAAAAGCAAGTTACCCAAGAGCTTCATTTGTGTGCTCATTCAACATTCTTTTCTGTCCGAAAATTAATAATATTTGGAATTTAGAGGGAAGAGAGAAATTTTGCATTCGTTATTGCTGAGCACATTTCATAGTCTTAATTAACGGAATGCCCACTAGACTGTTCCAATATTCCATCTTTACTTATTTTACTTTTCTTTTTTGTTATCATTTTAGGAGAAACTGCTGATAACAAATATACAAAGCATTTAGTTTTTTAAGCTAATATTTTCACAAGAATGTAAAGAAGTAAATACTTGGCCTCTTGCACCCATCTAATTTCTCTTGTACTTTACAGACTGGACCAGTAAGTACTGAGATTCAGCATCATGATCTGATGTGTGCAAAAGCACCAAAAATCTACAATATTAATTGCGTCAGAATGAAGAATCATGTACAAATACTTTACAGAAAGATTTGAAAAGTGATTCTGGCCATGTTCAGTTCAGTGGCCACTAGTTCTGAATAATTTGATTCATTAAAATTTTTAATGTCTATTTTTATTTTGGAGCAAGCAATATAGACGTATATGGTAGTTAATATGATAGCTAATTTCTAATCCAAATCCTTATTCATGCATGAAGCACAGCTGTGTCAACATCCAAGTCTACAGACAACATCCAGAGGCATACAGACCACCGAGTAAATATTCTGATTTTCATTCACAAGTTCGGTGTCACAGGAGCAACTTCTTTCTGGAAACTAGTACACAGCTCTGGCAGAGCACAGCATGGTGACCACTGCACAGTGTCTCCCTTCCTCACCCTCGGAAGTCAAGCTTTTAAAACGGGAGACGGGCGAGGCATTACTAAAATAATATCCTGCACGTTTCTGACTCCTCTGTGCGTTTGCTTTCTGTCTCCCTCCTCAGGTACTCCTCAGCACTAGACGGGGATCATGGATCTTGCACCGTGTTTGGGATAATGGATACCCTATGGACAGCTCATCTATCACTCGATTCAATAGTTTTATCCAGAAGATATTTACTACGGCATTAGTAAATAACTACCTGGAGAAGACACTGAACTCAAGATTCAATCATGCTCACTATGGCCTGCAGCCACAACACAGGTGACACCCCGGACTTAGGGCATGGAGCCATGTGTGGGTGTGAAAGGGAAATTGCTTTAGGGACAACTGCAGTTCTTGCAATTAACATGCATTTGGTCATTTAATCTCACACTTCATTAACATAAAGCCCTTGTAATGCGAATATAGCGCATAAACATGAGCACTTATTTCTAAATTTTTTATTGGCGCATTACAATTATACATAGTAATGGGATTCGTTGTTACACACTTGTACATGCACACCATAGAACAATATAATTTGGTTGATTCCATTTCCCAGTATCCCCCCACCCCCGTACACACTCTCATTTATTCAGCAATCATTTAAAATTTGATTGCTAAGTGTGCTGCGTGCACACGCACACACACACACACACACACACACAGAATAACATTGCCCCTCCTCTCAGCTGGGTGTCAAGTTTAGTGGGGTCGGAAAGACTTGAAAGCATGTTAGAGCAAGGAAACCCAACGGTGCGGTGATGGCCACCAGGCAGTGTGCACTGAGGCCCAACAGGACGTGGTCAGTGTGGCTGATGTCGTTTGAAACTGTCAGGAAAGTGCACCTGGAAGAGGAGCTCTGAGGGCCCTCCTCAGTAAGCACACCCCTGTGACTGCAGGCCACCCCACAGGGTTTCTAGCTTCAGAAATCGCCTGCAGCTTCCAGTGAGAAGGTGAAAGAGAAGTGGGGGTCAACACTGGGTTGAATTAAGAAAAGAGAAAGAGCAGAATGAAAAAATATACTTAACAGAACAAAGTGCCCCAGAATTCATGTACCAGAAATCCCCAGTCACGTGTCAATGATGTCTGGAGGTGGGGCCTTTGGGAGGTCATCGGGACTGGGTGATGTCATGAAGCTGGGGTCCCTGATGGCTCTGTGGCCTTATAAGGGGAGGAGAGGGGACCCAAGTTAGCATGCTTGCTCTGTCGCAGCACATATTGCCTGAGCCACCTCTGCACTCTGCTGTGTCCCCACCAGCTCCAAGGCTCTCGCCTGATGCGGTTCCTTGACATTAACCTCCAGAGCTATGAGCTGATAAATAAGCCTTATTTCTTTTTTTTTTTTTTTTAGAGATAGATAGAGAGAGAGAGAGAGAGAGAGAGAGAGAGAGAGAGAGAATTTTAATATTTATTTTTTAGTTTTCGGCGGACACAACATCTTTGTTTGTATGTGGTGCTGAGGATCGAACCCGGGCCGCACGCATGCCAGGCGAGCGCGCTGCCGCTTGAGCCACATCCCCAGCCCACCTTATTTCTTTATAAATTACAGTCTCTGATATTATGATAACAATGGAAAAGAGACTAAGAAAAAATATTTCATGTTCCTTATATGAGTAATTAATTGTCTCTAAAGACAATTCTAAAACAGAAATTCCTCAAATGTTCATCAAATGTGGCAAAGGCATGTGGCATTTATTGACTCATTCATTAAAAATACTTATGATAGTCTACTAAGCTGTGGACTCAGAACAAAATCACAATAGCAAAAACAAAACTCTTTCCTGGAAAGTTCTTCAAGCCAACCTTGGCTCCACTGGTTTTCTATGTGCAGACATAGGGGGCTTCATGACAGGGGCATGTTCTGAGAAAGTCATCTTCAGGGGATCTGCCATTGTGCATACATCATAAAGTGTGTGACAGAAAGCCAGGTACCAGCATGGTTCATAGACACAGTAGAAAGAGAGCAAACACAAGGTCCATGGGCCTGTGCAGGTGGGACAAGACTTGTTGGTGACATGGACTTTGTTCTAAGCAGGAGCACTCTCTAAGGCTAGGTCTAGTGGAGGAAATGCATAAAATATGGTCACCTATTATCATTACCAAGGAATGTGCACTGTGGCATTGTACATGCTCTGCTTTTACTGACTGAGAGTGCAGGAGGCTCGTCGATGCCAGCATCTGTACACGCCCATGAGAAAGTACTGTATTGGGATGGCTAGAGATCGCTGGGAATCAGGGTTTTTCCATGTTTATCTTACAGGAAGACTGTGTTGCATTTCCTTCTCTGCCTCTCCTTCTCAGTCCAGACCTCACCATCCTGCACAGACTTCCCTGGTTGTTAACCACATAGCTCTCTCTTCTCCAGCAGAGACTGTCTGGGCAGAGTGGTTGGGTGCCATGGTTTTCCTCCAAGAGAGTAAATGGATATCTGTGGAATGGAGCTTTGGGAAGGCCAAGGTTCCCTAGGAGAAGAGTCACACACAGCAAACCCACATCTTGCCCTACCCATTTCTTTTTCTTCCCTTTGAAACATGGATCCTTTGGGGTACTTACTTGAACAATTTAGTCATTTAGCAAATATTGTGTCAGATAGTGTTATGGCCTATTGTTACAAGTGTTTTCTACCTCTAGCCTGGAGACTGATTTGCCGACAAGTGATAATTTAGCAGAGATTGAGATGGAGGAAGGCTAATAATAGACTAAGACTTGTATTCCAAAGGAGTCATAGTCAAACCTCGTCTTTCCTAATTTTAAGAGGTGTAAATAACTTAATACTAAAGCAAATAGGACTATATGGCACAGACTGCAAGATATAAACGTGTTCAAGCTAAAATATATGAGAAAACATAGAACTGAGATGACAACACTTAGGGTACAAAATCCTCACCGCTGCCATTAGAGGCAGATGGGGGACCAGCGCAGGGTTGGGGGAAGCCTACCACTGGCTTTGATTCCTTTCCAGATGCAGTGCTTTCTTTCTGTATATTTGCTCACTTGGGAATTTTGTCTCTACATCCAGACCTCTGAGCCAGCACCCAACCGTCAGCGATGACCTGCCGAACCACATCATTTCTGGCAGGGTCCAGGTGAAGCCCAACGTGAGGGAATTCACGGAGACGGACACCATCTTTGATGATGGCACCGTGGAGGGCAACATTGATGCTGTCGTCTTCGCTACAGGATACAGCTTTTCTTTCCCTTTCCTGGATGGGCTGATCGAAGTCGCTGATAATGAGGTGTCTCTGTATAAGCTGATGTTCCCTCCCAACCTGGAGAAGCCCACACTGGCCGTCATTGGCCTCGTCCAGCCCCTGGGCATCGTGCTGCCCATAGCAGAGCTCCAGTCTCGCTGGGCTGCCCGGGTGTTCAAAGGTGAATGAGGAGAGGCCAGAGCGAGACTGGCCGCTCACCCTGCCTGCCCTCGCTTCTCTTGGCCCTGGTTGTCTTGCTAGAGATCCTGACAGACTCTGCATTCTGTGTGGCAGGGCTGAGCAGACTACCCTCTGCCAAGAAGATGATGGCAGACATTGCCCAGAGGAAGAGGGCGATGGAGAAAAGGTAAGTCAAGTAAAACCAGAGTTTGAGACAAAACTCGATCCTCTGCCTGGTGGGTGGGCGGGTCTGTGTGAGCTGCAGCCCTCCACGGCCCCTCCTAGCATTAGCAGCTGGCCACAGCAGGCAAGCTCCCGGCGTCAGCTCCCAGGGCGCAGCCAGCAAAGCCGGGTTCCTCTCCACTACCACAGGGTGGCATGTGGCAGCTCTCGGTGTGGCAGGCTGTTCCCCAATGTCACAATGGACTTCAGCAGTGCACCTCCAACTTCTTCCTGGGTTCTTGCCTCACAAATCCAAGGAGTGGAATTCACAGGACAAAAAAGGCAGGAGTGAAAGAGTAGAATCTATTCAAGTGTGAATAGAAACAAAACTCTTCTAAGGCCAGGAAGAGACTCAGAAGGGGCTGCTGGTGGAGTGTGCTAGTCTAAGGTGTACAGAGCGCTTGGGCCAAGCTATTGGTCCAAGTTTGTGCTAATCAGGGTTAGAAAAGCACCAACACTACAGTTAAGCCCTGACTCTGAACCTCCATTCAGGTCTGTCCTACTTCCATTTTCCCACTGCTTGTGGGGAAGCAGGAGGTTGAGGCTGTTGGATCTTGGATGCTAGGGGGTTCTGCTGTGCAGAGTGGGCATCTCCCCTGGGCGGGCTACCTGGACGTGCCGGTCAGCAGGCCCTGCCTCACGCCGGCTCTGGCTGACGGGCTCTGTAGGGCTGTGCCCCTGCTCACTGCCTGCGCTCCAGCCCACCTAGGCCCCTGCTCCACAGCTCTGGGGCAAGGACTGGGCTTCAGGAGCATCAGGAACAGCTACTCAGAGACCTCTGCAGGATCTGCAGTTCCTCACTGGGGACTCTAGATTCGTGCTTCCTCTGCTCAACCCCATTTTTCTCCATTTCCTATACTACATTGTTGTGCAGCACAAAACATCCCACTTCAGTTCTTCAGTAAATACCTTTATTTGTTCTTTTTAATTCACATTAAATTCAGAATCATCCTCTCCCTCAGCCTCAGTGGGAACTGGTGTTTCTTGAAGACTCACTGCAATCCAGGAGGCTCGTGTGCTGCGTGGCGGTGGGGGGACTGCCCCAGGTGGCTCCGCTTGCTGACATCCGCAGGGCCCAAGTCGGAGCCACACTTACAGTCTGGAGGCTTCTGCTGCTCTGTCTCGAGTAGGGTGCAGGACTCTTTGCTGAGGGTGGGTTCTGGGGAAGGTGGGCTAGGGGTCCAGACTCCCACACCTCCACGCAGCTTCCCTATGAAGTCTGCCTGGGTTCCTGGACTTTCATCCCAGACTTCCCCACACTGAAATCCCTCCCTCTCCTCCTTTGGTGCCTCAGAGACTTGCATCTTATTCTCTTTCATGAGCCAAGAGTTGAAGGAAACAAGCCAAGAGGGAGTCTCCTGCACGTCAGGCATTTCTTTGGTCTTGTAACAAAAACTGTTTGCAATAAGGGAACCAAAGGCTTATGCATGTCTTCACACAGGGAAGGAAGAAGAGGGCAACATGCAAATCCATAACCCAGCAATCACCTTGCACATTTTTGTCAAGATTCTAAAGACACTGTGGTGTGTGTGTGTGTGTGTCCATAAAAAGAAATGGAATTCATTCAAATTCACCCCCCACACAGAGACACATACAAATACACACATACACTACAGGTTCACAAATTTTGTAGCACAAAGAAAACTGTTCATTGACAAATTCTGAAGGAGAGATGGAAAGTGTCTAGTTCACTCACTAAAACCCCATGTTACTAAGCATTTCCAGTTCGCCTGTGCAAAAGGCAAGAGGGGAGCCATGTGAAATGGCAGCACTGCTGTTTCTCGTAGGCACTGTACCTGAAACAGCCTTCCAAGCACAGGTGGAGGCTGCTGACTCCCACTCTGGGGAGGTCCCACAGCATGGAAGGAGTGCTCAACTCATGCAGCAGAGGTGCCCGCTCCCACACCTCTAAGGTCACATCAGAAAGACACGTTGCCCTCGCCTCCTGTTGTACAGCCAGTGCGCATAGGCTCCTGTCAGCCCACAAAACAAGTTCTTGTGCAAAGGAGACAAAAGAACTCCATCCTTAAGACACACTATTTCCAAACACTGGAGGTGCACTGCCACGGCAGACATCAGATCCACACCACCCACACTAGGAACAGGTGTCCTGGGCTGCGCAGTCCCTGCCACTGCCCCTCAATACCGAGAAGTGTGGGGTGTGTTGGCTTTCTAGCTGTTTCTGCATCTTAAAGCTGTAGAACTAACCTCTTGGCTCTGGGATGATGTGAATCCGTCCTCTGCCTGCCTGGAGGCTGCCGGCCTCACTTCCGCCCTGTGTTTCAGGTATGTGAAGTCGGCCCGCCACACCATCCAGGTGGACCACGTGGAGTACATGGATGAGATTGCCTCCCTGGCCGGGGTCAAGCCCAGCCTGCTGCTCCTCCTTCTCTCGGATCCAAAGCTGGCCATGGAGGTTTTCTTCGGCCCTTGTACTCCATACCAGTTCCGCCTCCAGGGGCCAGGGAAATGGGATGGGGCCCGGAGAGCCATCCTGACCCAGAGAGAGCGCATCATCAAGCCCCTGAGGACTCGAGTCACCAGCAAGGACAGCCTCTCGTCCTCCTCGGGGCTCTCCTTGGTAAGAGTGGCATCGTTAGGCCTGGCGTTGCTGGCTGCTGGCTTGACGTACATATTCAGCGCGCAGAGTGCGGAATGAACACTGAGCAGGGAAGTACGTATTTCTGCTCATCTGGGATCATTACAAAGCTTCCATTACTCAGTGACATGTGCAAATATTATTTGGGATACCATACTGCTATGGAAAATGTTTAGATATGCTCTGCAAGTAGGCACATTCCCTTAGGGAACACAACCTGAGATGGGTATCACTGCTCCTACAAGATATTATCAATGCACAAGAAAATCCTATCATTTAAATGAAAACTGTTTAAACCTTAGGAATATTTTTCAACATAAAGTTCACCCAAATGGTTTGACAATGCTAGATTATCCTCATAGGAATTTATAAATAAAAATTTGCTTTCCACTGATTATATTTTCTACATTATCTTTTATTTTCTACATTATCCTTTCTTCTTTCCAAGTAATTCTATCAAATTCTCATTTATGCATAAAAGCTTCAGTTTACAGGATAGAATTTAAAAGGCAAATTAAAATATTTTATGTTTCACACAAATGGTTAATACTTAAAAAAAAAAAAGTTCAACATCCCTAGCAATCAGGGAAATGCAAATCAAAACTACACTGAGATTTGATCTCACTCCAGTCAGAACGGCAATCATCAAGAATACAGACAATAATCAATGCTGGCGAGGATGTAGGGAAGAGCGCACTCATACATTGTTAGTGGGAATGAAAATCAGAACAACCACTTTGAAAATCAATGTGGAGATTCCTCAAAAAACACGGAATGGAGCTACCATATGGCCCAGCTATCCCATCCTTTGTACTTGTCCAAAAGAACTAAAATTATATACTATAGCAATACAACCACATCAACATTTACAGCAGCACATGCACATTAGCCAAGGTAATGAACTAGCCCAGATGCCCATTGATGGATGAATATTTTAAGAGAATATTGTATATATACACAATGGAGTTTTCCTCAGCCATAAAGAAGAATGAAATCATGACATTTGCCAGCAAATGGATGGAAATGGAGAACATCATGTTATGAGTGAAAGAAGCCAGACTCAAAGTCAAGAATCAAAAGTTCTCTCTCTTATGGGAAAGCTAGAGCCAAGCAAAGGGGACTAGGGGTGGCAGGTGATATTGTAAAGACACTGGGGAGGTCAGCAAGGCAGAAGAGGGAACTGAGGGGAAGGAAGAGGGACGGGAAAGGGGAGGAGAGAGAGATGAACTGGCAAAACCACGCTACACACATGTATGAACACACCACAGTGGATCCCACCTTGCGTATACATGTAAAACACCAATTAAAATGTATATAACGAGTGCAAGGTAGACCAGTAGACTAGAAGAGGAAGAGGAGAGGGAAGGGGGGCTCTGGGGACCAAAGTGGACTAAATCAGGTTCCACGCAGGTGTAATGATGTCAGAATGCATGCAACTAGTATGTACAATTATAGTGCACCAGTAAAAGAAAATCAAGAATATTTTGTGTCAACTTATTAGAAACAGTAGAAATGCTTTTTTAAAAATTGTTTGCAAAAAATTGTTTTGAAGAAACAAAGAAAAAGTGCATCTATTTTAGGGCTTTGAACAATTTACTCTATATTTTCAATTTTTAGAAATAAGGGTCACTACAGAATGCTAACCCTGGGCTGTTCCCTACCTCAGTAAGGAAGGCAGCTGCACATGGCTGTTCTCGTGACCCTGCCAGCCTCGGCGACCAGCCCTCTCCCTACGAGGACTGCTGGCTTCCTCACTGTTGGTAGGAGGGGTGCACCAGAAGGTTCTCTGCCACCAGCACCTTCTCTCCCTCCCCCTGCTGTTTTGCTAAGGAGGGTTCTCCCTGCCTCCCTGTTAAAGTTCAGGCCACCATGGAGTGAAGACAGTAGACCGAGGGGTGTGCATTGAGAAGAAACACCAGTAGATACCCTCAAAACATCACAAAGAAATGTAAACATTTAATAAAGTCTCTTAAAGAAAAACTGAAAGTTTATTATGCTCAGAAAAAAAAAATCCACACATCTCCCCATGACTTCCATGTCACAGAGACAGCTCTAACCACAGGACCCCCGTGGCCACCTCCAGGGGCACCACCAATGCACCTGATGGGGACCACTGACAACTGCCTGTGATGGTGTGAATGTGAGGTGTCCCCAAAGGCCCGCATGTGAGACAAAGACGG